TGAGTGAGTGAGTGAGTGGGTGGGTGAGTGAGTGAGTGAGTGAGTGGGTGAGTGAGTGAGTGAGTGAGTGAATGAGTGAGTGAGTGAGTGTGAGTGAGTGAGTGAGTGAGTGAGTGAATGAGTAAGTGAGTGAGTGGGTGGGTGAGTGAGTGAGTGAGTGAGTGTGAGTGAGGGGACGGGAGGCGGGAGGCGGGAGGCGGGAGGCGGCGGGAGGCGGATACAGAACTAAAAACAAAAACCCCACACGTCAATGTGGGGAAAAAACCCACACGTCAATGTGGGGAATAATTCAGGGATTCAACTTGCATGAACTTGTACTTATTTCATGTATATATATATATATATGACCATTTGTTTTTTTAATATGCTGATATATTTGTATACGTATGTATAATAGATATATATATATACGCACATGCATCCAGAATTTTGATATTGATATATTGATCTGTCTCTCAACCTTGCTTAGAGGTCCCCGTAGTTCAGCATCAACTCCGCGACTTTGTCGGACTTCGTGACATGTTGGGACGTCATGTTGCCGTCCAGGGACGAGTCATTGGTGTCATTGGTGTCGTTGCTGGAGTTCATGGCGGCATCAAAACTCGTTGATGGAGGCTTCGTGGTGGTGCCTTGCCAGCGCTTCCTTTCGGAACTTTTCGGTGTCCGGCCGCACCCCAACATTCAAATGTTTGGATGGAACTTGAAGGAACCCTAGCTGCTACAGCACTACATTTAATGATTAAACCGTGTCTCTTAGATCTGTACCTAGTGCATTCATTGCTCTATATACATACAATCTATTTACTATGGCTCCTGCCCGCTCCTGCTACAAATGTGTTGCAAAAGTGATACGGTGGAAGCAGCATCTCAGTCATAGCAGTGCTGCATTTCAGTTTCTCATCGCGTTGGATCTCAAGCGCATCATCACATCTTGGATCGTCTCGTGCGTCTGCCGCTGCCTGCCTTCAGCTTGAACTTCTTCAGTTTCGTTGCGCTCTTCCTCCGCTGCAGGTGCGGAACTTGCCTGAACGGAAAAGATATCGCAGGTGTCACATGGTTTCACCATCATGCCCGGACCTACTGCAGAGATGCTATCCACAAATAAACTTCTGGCTCGCGAAGGAATTGAACCGCAAGGACAAACCAAAGATGTGTACTTATAATACGAATGGCAAAGGCGCAATAGCATGTGATGACTGCATGTGACTGCATGTCGTGTGAAAGGCTGGTGATATCTCCTGAGAATCAAAGAGAAGGAATCCACTTCTTTGCCTATGCTGAATGCCCTCTCTCACTTCTCTTCATCAAATTTAATGTAAGATAAGGACAGATAAGGACAGATAAGGACCATATGAGTTCTTTCTGCAGTTTGCCAGCTACAGCTACCAAGTTCTAGAAATGGCTCAAAACAGTATGGGCAAACGCCAATGAGAATCCCAACTGCTTGGGGATTAAACCATCCAGGTAGTGGTATCTATCCGAATCTAACCCTCAACCATCGCACATTGGCATCCCAAAGTGGTCACACTGGGGTCGCCCACCGTGGCTCGTTCGGCATCCCGGGCACAGTATGCCTGTGAGTTTGACCCGTTCGGCCAGATAACAATAACATCAATAACGACTACCTAGGTTGGGAAACGTTGGGATGGTATAATATCATGTAATAGCCTTCATGATGCTTCTGTAGATATGGATGGATAGGTCATGATAGGTCAAACAATTCTGGATGGCAAAACAGCAGGTTTTCTTCGCGTCCTGCCAGGTCGAAGGTTCCCTGGGCATAGGTGATGTAACCCATGACCTTGGAAATTGGCAAACACCGATGGCAAAACCGAAGATAACCCGACAGTATGGGGAAGAAAAGGACAAGGATCCTGCAGGAGACATTCCTACATTCCTTACATGATGGGAGCTTAATGTGTTGAACGCGTTGAACACATTGGGGTGAACTCACCACCCTTCGGGATGGCCCCACCCTGGAAGCCACGGGGATCCCTGCGGCGGATTCAGGAAGTGGAAACCCCAAAGGTCAGCAACCACCTGGGCTGTGCTTGGTCTTGGCACATTTGGCAAGGTGATTCATCTCGACACCGGATGCATTTCGCCCATTTTATGCATTTCATGAACTTGGAGCATGACGGCTGGAGCGTTGTTGAGGTTCAGTAGCTCCTGAAAGACTCCACAGGGCACTTGGAGCAAAGCGATTGAAGCGAGCTGAAGCTTCTAAGCTTCTGGTCGCACCTCTGACGAGCCAACATCCCACCATGGCAAGAAGATCGCAGAGAAAAAGAGACCACTGCCAAAGAGACCCAATAGTCCTGCCGATTCGATGGAGGGAATCGAGAGAACTGCTATGATTTGGGATGCCAGCATATGCCAGCTTGTTTGTTGACTCACAAGGATTGAGGTCAATATGTCAATATGTTTCCAGATTCTTTTTAGATGTTTCATGATCAGCCCATCATAAACCATCTGTGTGTTTTGGAAGTTCTCGTGTGTTCCCCTCTTCCCGCTCCTGACGCGAAACTGGCGCACCTGTCATGAATTGCCCATGTCATTGCCCAATATCACCAGCACATCCAGCACCAAACAAAACACAATCTGCTTGGGGACACATGGCTTCCGATTGGCTCAAAGACTATCAGATCTGGGAAGCCGACCCCAAGTACCCCGGTGTTTTCCCTAATTCACCTGGCCTTGTGAGGGCGCACGGACTGCAAACGTGATTTGCAGTAGGTTGACATTGGTTGATTCATATATTGACTCCCAATAATTCAATATTCCATGCCGCTGACGTCACACTCATTTTAAACCTGGACATAGCATGACTCAGCTGCACTTCCGCACCTCCTAGTCATTCACCGTAGTTCAACGTATTTCAACGTCCTTGAATTGTTTGAAGTAAGTAGTTTCTAAGAAGTTTCTCGTAAGATTCTCATGGTTGCTATTGGCTCGTGCTGTCCATGTCCCAGATGTCCCAGGCACCTGATGCGGTCTTTATTTAGATACATCGCATATCCATGCAGCCATCCCACCGGGCACACGTCGTAGCCAGCTACGACTGGTTGCGGGTAGGATTTTGCTGAAAGTCGGTGGGATACCGCTCCACTTGGAATATATTTGAATATCATTGAATCTGATTTGCAAGAACGGTCTGTTCAGATCTGTTCTGATGTTGCTCAGGATTCTTGCTCTACTACAAGTATCTTCCAATTTGAATGCGGAGGCAGAGCCAAAGCAGAGAAGGTCATGTCGCTTCCAGACAAGGTCTTCATGATCGTCAGCACATGCTGAAGTCTCACCAGTCTATGCCAGCTTATCCTCCATGGAAAGTAGCAAAGGTTTTCCAAATGCTGGATCTGGATTCAGCAGCAAAGTTCCTAGGTGCCCAAGAGGGCTGCAGCGGACTATGTGCAAAAAGATGCCGTCCCATGCGTTGAACAACAGTTGGATGAACCACTGAAGCTCGGACTCTACTGTCGAAATCCATAGCTCCTTTTTGACGCCAACTGACAGTTCTGAAAATACTACTTTCTGGTCGCAGGTGCCTGAAGGTAGCTGAAATGGTGGAGTTGATTTTGATGGGAAGCTGTGGCTGCTACTAAACCATGCCAAATCATGCGTGGCCACGAGGTGGAGAGATATGGTGTTCAGGGCAAGTTGTGGTGGGGATTCCTGAATCCAACAAGGATAAAAGGCTTGATAATATCTTTATGCATTCCAACTAAGTAACTACGTCCGTTGAAACTCTTTGGAGTCGTACCTTATGGGACAGACCACGAAATGACGGCAAGCGTAAGTGTCTACGCAATTTTCTCTAAGTGGCGCAAGCACTCTGGTTAGCAAGCGTGGTAGAACAGCCGCTTTGTGGGAACTTTGGTTCTACTTGGGGAGAAACCATGACGAAAATTAAAGCAAAAAATTGACGTGCACTGAATTGCACTTATAAACGCTTCACACCTGATCTTCAACAACAGTGGCAGGCACTTTGGACTGCCTGAAGCCGCGCCGCGCAGCCAACCCAGATGTGAGCGGCTTCAGTTTGGGAGCAGAAGGTTGCTCGTTTTGAGTCACTTCTGTCCTTTCCACTGTCACGCAGTGCTCGTTTTTGGGAGACTTTGGCGCAGAGTCAGGATCTCGAATCATCTTCATAGAGAAGGTCGTGTCCGTGCGAGTCCCGAAACTGCACGTGCTCTCACTGTGACTGTCCGAAGGTGCAGGTGCCACCGGAGGTAACACCCCAAGCAATTTCACTAAGTCTTGCCAACTTTGGCCTAGATCTGCACTTAATCCAGATAGGTGTGATCCATTTGAGGGTGTGGCTGCAGGAACATGTCGGACGCCACGCAAAAAGAGGGTCCAATATCTCATCTTGGCATCTTGGATGAGTTCGTTCTTCTCGTCGAATTGATTTTGGACATGCTCTTCTTTTTCAGCTTGATGCTTTCCAGAATCAAATGAAACAGCCCTCGCAGGAAGAAACGCGTCAGGGCGGTTACGATCCTTTACCAGCCTGTGGCATTCAGCAACTGCGGCACCGCAATAGTCAACTGAAACTATCTTACGATGCTGGTTTACTGGCAGCACGCTCGCACACGCTTGTACCATGTGGCCGTGCGTCACCAGCAAGCAGCTCTTTTTGGTATGACGAGCGCGGCGCAAATAGTCCAAGTATCGCTTCACATACCGAAGACGAGCCTGCTGAAGAGATTCTTTCCACTGAGGCCCCTTGCCCATCAAACGCCCTGCTCGCAGGCGCTCATGCGAACTCGCTGAGGTTGCAGAGGCCTTCAGAGTTGCTTTCCTTACTGCTGGGTGTGTGTGTGTGCGCGGGTGTGTGTGTGCGTGTGTGTGCAGGACAAGTGCGTATGTTTTGGAAGCTGACAACTTTTGCCATTTTTGCCATACAAACTTTGCAGTTTCTCCTCGCATCTCAAACCTCACAAAATCTTTGAAAAACATGGACTCACAAATGATCCACAGCTACTCCGTCAAGTGTCAGATTGCTCCAAGGCCTAGGAGGCAGTGGTGGCTTTGTTTCAAACACCGGCGGCCCCATGACTTCTCCCAAATCTTGATCTATCAAAACTTTCGCATCAAACTTCTCGGCCAAGATCAAGGCAGTTTGCAAACAACGCAGGAACGGGGAAGAAACGATGACTTCGAAATCAATCTCTTTCATCTTCAGCTCATCGGCCAGTTGCCTCAATGTGCATCAATGCAGTTTCAAAACATTTCAATTTTTAGAGTGGCCTTCTCTTAGACATTCTTAGACATAAAAATCACAACCATATTCACCCAATGTTGACCATACATTTTCTAACAACATCAAACACGTCCTCGAGTTTAGGCCAAGCTGCTCTGCTTGTTCAGCACCTCTTGCCGTGATGGGTGGATCATGTGGAAAGTTCTCTGCATCTTTCGAACAACCCCAGGTATCAAAAGTCTGCATGTTGTCTGCTCGTTCTGCATGCCTCACCACGGCGACTACGGCTGATGGACCGTGCTTGGATGGGCCCGAAGGAGCAGCAAGAACTTCTAAGGACGGATCTTCGCAATGCATAACCTATGCCGGCAAATACACGGAGCTTTCACGACTCTCAGGGTCTTTTAAGGAAGGAAATAGTCTCAAATTGTTCAAGTCCAAGACAAGGTCACGGGTTTGATCAATCAAGTCATGTTTTTGATCACTTTTATACTCGATTTCTGTGCTTGGACCAGGGGATGCTCGCGTCCTACGGATGATTCATTTCGAGAATGGTTCTCTTGGATGGTTTCTTTCATATCTTTTCATCAGTCAGCGTTGGTGAGTTTTCTCTGTGCCTTTGGCGCTGAACAAATTGAAGGGGCCCTGGGCCGTGCCTCCTGGTTGATAGCCGGTAGTTCCACTCCATCCCTCTCGCAGGCTAGAAGCCTTGCAAACGTCCCGAAGTTGAAGCGCTTTCAATTAAATATCAAAATTTCATCATGCAAGTTGTGGCGGAATAAGTTCTAGATTCTAGATAACAAAACATAGTGGAAAGATCCAAGACGAGTCTGAGACATGTACCAAGATTAGGGACCAAGATTTGGGACCAAGCATATGTTCGGGTTCATAGAATCCAGAATTTTTGCCCAAACTGCATCGGAAGAATCCGAGAAGCCTCTGTGCAGAAGCAGCATTCTGATGGCTCTGCTGCATTCCTCTCTCTATGGCACGCATGCGAGCAAAGAAGTCGATCAGGTGGCTCACTACCAGAAACCAAGCCAGCGCGCTCTGAATGACAACGGGCGAAGGCACGATGAAGCTCCCGAGAATCTGGCAGATCAACTCAAATGGCCACATCACAACACTGGCAGCCGTTAGGCTTGCGGCTGCTGCAGCACAAATCATCGGGTGGCAGCCGGCTTGTATCAAAGTTTGCATGCCAGAGGTATAAAGCAGAAAGCTCCGGCCAATCGTTTCTGCCTGGAAATCGTACCAAGAGGGGAGTTTTGTTTCCATGTGCATGTATTCAATGCGAGCTAATCGAAAGTTCACCATCAGAAGCATTGCAGGCACGCAACAGAAGAAGGCCATTGCGAAATCCTCATGCCAAGCAGAGCTTGTACAGGAGGTGCCTCGGCACCAAGAAATTCTACGCTTGCTACACAAAGCCAATACTACCAATCCGACAGCCAGAAAAGGCACTGCAACGCTGCAGATAGGAATGTGGTTCCGAAGAAAAACTGCGTCTTGCCGGGTGGATTCAACACTGTTGTGGATCATGGTTGCGGCCCACAAAATCCATTGATTGACACCAGAAACCCAACAGACTCTGCGTGCGGAGCGCCCGGCTAACGGGCTTTCAAGCACCTCATCATTCTCACCGAAGAGAACGCCTGAACAAACCGCCTCGAATCACGGGTGCATTTCGTTAACCCTAGGATTCAAACTTGCCAAAAACACAGGTCAGTTGACCATTGAACATGATTCCATCGTGTTCAATTCAAATATCCCTTTGAATTTTGCCAAATCCCAGCCTTGACACGTAATGTGAAATCCCAAGTTAGAGCCACCAACATCGTGCACTCGAAAGTCATGACACTCAAACAGGTAACGAGGGACTGACCCTGGATTAGATCGTCCCCTGACATGCGAAGGAAATGGTAAAAAACCACCAGGAACAACACCGCAGGATGAACATTGCAGTGGCACATCACTGCAATAACGAAACTGAAAGAGAACTCGTGTGCGAAGTAGTGGTAGTGCCCTCGTGCTGAGAGCAGCTGGACACTGATTGCGCTGCCAATCCCAAAGAACATGCTACCTCTGAAGCTTTCACGGCTTGTCCAAAGGGAAGTCCCTGAACTGAGTGCTAGACAAACAGCCATCAGCGCAAAAAGAGGGATGTCCCTGTTCATACCGCCATGTGATGCTTCTGGAAAAGCATTGGCCCACACCACGGCTGGCTTGGGAAGCAGCATGCATAGCCAGGCGCCAATCTGACCAAGAGTAAAAAGAGCCCGGAAAAACCGTCCGGTTCCCCGTCGTAGCCAGGGACTATTGAGAACCACCGGGTCCGTTGTATCTCTCCACCATGTGAGAGCCTTTGCGGCGCCAAAAATCTTCAGCCAGGAGCAACAACTTCCAGTGCCCGTTTGTGGATCAACCTCCAGCCAGCTGCCCACATCTGATGCGGCCATGGCAAGTTGTTCTTTTTAAGTGTTGCAAATGTCTCCACTTTCTTGGGAGGAGTTACTAAAATGCCCTTGGACACGGGCACAATGACTTTATCATACTTTACCTATGCCATACAGTATGTGCGGCAAACTGTCCTCAAATCTGTTTTTTTTGCCTTTGGAGCCAAAGAGCAGACCTGTGCCCAGGGGTGGAAGCTGAACCTGTGATAGCGTTTCCTAGCTACTGATTGCGAAACAAATATAGTCTAATAAGTCCCGGGCCCCACTTATTTGCTCAGAACTGTCATTGCGAATTTGGTGTGGAATGCATCTTACGTGCAAAAACCCTTCCATTAAACCTGACAGGAACGGGTCGGTGAAGAGACCCGACAAAAAATCAAGAAGTTATCATCGCCATAGCCAGTGTTGTTGCCAAAATGACAGTTGGGGAAATTGAAAATTCAAATGATCGACATGCCGGTTCTAGGCTTAGCCGGTTGCCATGAAGAAGAAATCTGGAAGCTGCAAAAACTGAGGTTGAATTGGCAGGTACGCTGGGTTGATCAGACCCAGTATCCCATGATTGTGGTAGCTTCTTTGAGTGCGGTCCCACAATCATGCCGCACTCCCCTGCAAACTCATATGATGAGCCGTAGTAATTCCAACCACATATGGTCTTCCACAAGGCGGAATGGGCGTACACCAACGTCTTGGTGTTGCGGTGGATAACTTGAAGTCGTCCCGACCTGACCAGTGGCGGCAAGTACTTCGTGTTGTTGGCCAATTTCACCTCCAGCTCTTTGATGGCGTCGTTCAAACCCGTCACTGCGTCCTTAGATTCCGCCTTGAGTAAGTTGAGCTCTTTGGCCAACTTCGTGACCACCATGCGCCTGTCTTCAGGGTTCAGGGTTTCCGCATTCTGTGATGTTGCTGGAAGGCGGTTCGCCAACGATGATATCTCCTTCTCTACTGTTGCGGCGTCCTTCATGTAATCGTTGTGTCCAAAGGCGATGCCCACATTGACGGCCATTGATTCCAAGGCTTCCTGGGCGTATTCCAGTATAATGTTGCTTCTCCGACGTCCCAAGTAGCCAACTTGGCTCACTGCCCAGCCCTTCCGGATGTATTGAAGGGCTCCGGATCGTCTGGCTGAATGGCCCGTGAGCTTGGCACCGTAGAGTGTGCGCCAAGCATCGACCAATTAGCGTTTCGTGGCACGATTTCTGCCGCCTTTTGTGTGGTTGATAGCATGGCTTCTGGCGATCCCTTAAGGCCGGCGTAGCTGACCAGGACTTCAAGGACAGAGTAGGGGCATCTGAGTGCGCATCCCTCTTTGCAGATGCACTGCAGTGTCCTCGACAGCCCTCTTGATTCTTGGTCCCCTTTTGAGTTGACGAAGAGGACCGTGACCAGTCTGTTGTGTGGATCACCCAGAAACTCTTCTTTCACAGACTTTTCACCCAGAGACTCTTCACCCAGAAACCCTTCTTGCACATACTTTTCACCCAATGCCCTTCTCTCTCCAATCTCCTCTAACTAGCTGGCCCATCTATCTGTCCATTGACTGAGCCCAGAAACCCCCAGAAAACCGGACCTAGGGGGAATCGATACCCACCGTCACTGTTTTGCCGCCTGGTACATTACCCTGCAAAACCATACTAGCGTCTGACTGAATTACCACCTATTTTCCGGATGTTTGACCCGTTTGGCAACTACCCCCCCCCAGACCCCCTATTCTCACTTCGTTCGCAAATAGCAACTAGCCAGCTTCCCGGCTGGCTTTCGTAATAATACGAATGGCAAAGGCGCAATAGCATGTGATGACTGCATGTGACTGCATGTCGTGTGAAAGGCTGGTGAGATCTCCTGAGAATCAAAGAGAAGGAATCCACTTCTTTGCCTATGCTGAATGCCCTCTCTCACTTCTCTTCATCAAATTAAATGTAAGATAAGGACAGATAAGGACAGATAAGGACCATATGAGTTCTTTCTGCAGTTGGCCAGCTACAGCTACCAAGTTCTAGAAATGGCTCAAAACAGTATGGGCAAACGCCAATGAGAATCCCAACTGCTTGGGGATTAAACCATCCAGATAGTGGTATCTATCCGAATCTAACCCTCAACCGTCGCCTATTGGCATCCCAAAGTGGTCACACTGGGGTCGCCCACCGTGGCTCGTTCGGCATCCCGGGCACAGTATGCCTGTGAGTTTGACCCGTTCGGCCAGATACCAATAACATCAATAACAACTACCTAGGTTGGGAAACGTTGGGATGGTATAATATCATGTAATAGCCTTCATGATGCTTCTGTAGATATGGATGGATAGGTCATGATAGGTCAAACAATTCTGGATGGCAAAACAGCAGGGTTTCTTCGCGTCCTGCCAGGTCGAAGGTTCCCTGGGCATAGGTGATGTAATCCATGACCTTGCAAATTGGCAAACACCGATGGCAAAACCGAAGATAACCCGACAGTATGGGGAAGAAAAGGGATCCTGCAGGAGACATTCCTACATTCCTTACATGATGGGAGTTTAATGTGTTGAACGCGTTGAACACATTGGGGTGAACTCACCACCCTTCGGGATGGCCCCACCCTGGAAGCCACGGGGGTCCCTGCGGCGGATTCAGGAAGTGGAAACCCCAAAGGTCAGCAACCACCTGGGCTGTGCTTGGTCTTGGCACATTTGGCAAGGTGATTCATCTCGACACCGGATGCATTTCGTCCATTTTATGCATTTCATGAACTTGGAGCATGACGGCTGGAGCGTTGTTGAGGTTCAGTAGCTCCTGAAAGACTCCACAGGGCACTTGGAGCAAAGCGATTGAAGCGAGCTGAAGCTTCTAAGCTTCTGGTCGCACCTCTGACAAGCCAACATCCCACCATGGCAAGAAGATCGCAGACCCAATAGTCCTGCCGATTCGATGGAGGGAATCGAGAGAACTGCTATGATTTGGGATGCCAGCATATGCCAGCTTGTTTGTTGACTCACAAGGATTGAGGTCAATATGTCAATATGTTTCCAGATTCTTTTTAGATGTTTCATGGTCAGCCCATCATAGACCATCTGTGTGTTTTCGAAGTTCTCGTGTGTTCCCCTCTTCCCGCTCCTGACGCGAAACTGGCGCACCTGTCATGAATTGCCCATGTCATTGCCCAATATCACCAGCACATCCAGCACCAAACAAAACACAATCTGCTTGGGGACACATGGCTTCCGATTGGCTCAAAGATTATCAGATCTGGGAAGCCGACCCCAAGCACCCCGGTGTTTTCCCTAATTCACCTGGCCTTGTGAATTTGGACGGACTGTTGCAAACATGATTTGCAGTTGGTTGATATTGGTTGGTTCATATATTGACTCCCAATAATTCAATATTCCATGCCGCTGACGTCACACTCATTTTAAACCTGGACATAGCATGACTCAGCTGCACTTCCGCACCTCCTAGTCATTCACCGTAGTTCAACGTATTTCAACGTCCTTGAATTGTTTGAAGTAAGTAGTTTCTAAGAAGTTTCTCGTAAGATTCTCATGGTTGCTATTGGCTCGTGCTGTCCATGTCCCAGATGTCCCAGGCACCTGATGCGGTCTTTATTTAGATACATCGCATATCCAGGCAGCCATCCCACCGGGCACACGTCGTAGCCAGCTACGACTGGTTGCGGGTAGGATTTTGCTGAAAGTCGGTGGGATACCGCTCCACTTGGAATATATTTGAATATCATTGAATCTGACCCGTGAGTTTCCATGCCTGTCAATGGGTGTCAAGAACGGTCTGTTCAGATCTGTTCTGATGTTGCTCAGATTCTTGCTCTACTACAAGTATCTTCCAATTTGAATGCGGAGGCAGAGCCAAAGCAGAGAAGGTCATGTCGCTTCCAGACAAGGTCTTCATGATCGTCAGCACATGCTGAAGTCTCACCAGTCTATGCCAGCTTATCCTCCATGGAAAGTAGCAAAGGTTTTCCAAATGCTGGATCTGGATTCAGCAGCAAAGTTCCTAGGCGCCCAAGAGGGCTGCAGCGGACTATGTGCAAAAAGATGCCGTCCCATGCGTTGAACAACTGTTGGATGAACCACTGAAGCTCGGACTCTACTGTCGAAATCCATAGCTCTTTTTTGGCGCCAACTGAAAGTTCTGAAAATACTACTTTCTGGTCGCAGGTGCCTGAAGGTAGCTGAAATGGTGGAGTTGATTTTGATGGGAAGCTGTGGCTGCTACTAAACCATGCCAAATCATGCGTGGCCACGAGGTGGAGAGATATGGTGTTCAGGGCAAGTTGTGGTGGGGATTCCTGAATCCAACAAGGATAAAAGGCTTGATAATATCTTTATTCCAACTAAGTAACTACGTCCGTTGAAACTCTTTGGAGTCGTACCTTATGGGACAGACCGCGAAATGACGGCAAAGCATCTACGCAATTTTCTCTAAGTGGCGCAAGCACTCTGGTTAGCAAGCGTGGTAGAACAGCCACTTTGTGGGAACTTTGGTTCTACTTGGGGAGAAACCATGACGAAAATTGAAGCAAAACATTGACGTGCACTGAATTGCACTTATAAACGCTTCACACCTGATCTTCGACAACAGTGGCAGGCACTTTGGACTGGTTGAAGCCGCGCCGCGCAGCCAACCCAGATGTGAGCAACTTCAGTTTGGGAGCAGAAGGTTGCTCGTTTTGAGTCACTTCTGTCCTTTCCACTGTCACGCAGTGCTCGTTTTTGGGAGACTTTGGCGCAGAGTCAGGATCTCGAATCATCTTCATAGAGAAGGTCGTGTCCGTGCGAGTCCCGAAACTGCACGCGCTCTCACTGTGACTGTCCGAAGGTGCAGGTGCCACCGGAGGTAACACCCCAAGCAATTTCACTAAGTCTTGCCAACTTTGACCTAGATCTGCACTTAATCCAGATAGGTGCGATCCATTTGAGGGTGCGGCTGCAGGAACATGTCGGACGCCACGCAAAAAGAGGGTCCAATATCTCATCTTGGCATCTTGGATGAGTTCGTTCTTCTCGTCGAATTGATTTTGGACATGCTCTTCTTTTTCAGCTTGATGCTTTCCAGAATCAAATGAAACAGCCCTCGCAGGAAGAAACGCGTCAGGGCGGTTACGATCCTTTACCAGCCTGTGGCATTCAGCAACTGCGGCACCGCAATAGTCAACTGAAACTATCTTACGATGCTGGTTTACTGGCAGCACGCTCGCACACGCTTGTACCATGTAGCCGTGCGTCACCAGCAAGCAGCTCTTTTTGGTATGACGAGCGCGGCGCAAATAGTCCAAGTATCGCTTCACATACCGAAGACGAGCCTGCTGAAGAGATTCTTTCCACTGAGGCCCCTTGCCCATCAAACGCCCTGCTTGCAGGCGCTCATGCGAACTCGCTGAGGTTGCAGAGGCCTTCAGAGTTG